TGACTTTTTTCAAATACTTGGTTATGCACATTATAGAATACATTTCTGCTTTCAGATAACGAACTTGTAACCAGTTATTTTATTTTTTAACATTCTTTTGTGATTAAGAAAACTATAAGTGATTAAAAACAATACATGCTTTGTGTTTGTTTAGCAGTCTAAAATTGTGTTTGACAATAAGAACCAAAATATCTTCAGTGTGCCTTTATCAGCTAATAATGACAAGCAGTGAACACCTTAAAAGTATTTATGAAGTATTATCCATGCGCTTAGGCAAATAGAATTTGTAGCCTAGGGTCTCAATGCTAAGTTCTTAGGTAACTCACTAGAAATAGGGAGCAGAAAAGCAGGCGTGCACATGCTTCCCTCATCGCTTTGGAGATGTATGCCTGAGCCTTGGCTTACACGTCTTACATGTCATCGCATAGCCAGAGCCAGCACTGCAGTCTTTGCTCAGTCCTCTTCAGACAGGACTCTTCCTGCAAGTTTGACTTGGTACTTATATGATACAGAGTCAAGAGAAGGTGCTTCTCTCTGTGGTGGGTGGCATTGGAACCCTTAGTGTGGAAGAAGATGGGGAGGTTTAAGTGGAACAAAGACAAAGACTTGGTCTAGTTCCTGTTTGTTGTTGGGTTTTGCTGGCTGCTGGCCTTGCCAGTGAACATCTCTGTTTGAATTTTAGGGGCAATCTGAAATAATTTATTGTGCTCATCAAATTTCTAAGTGCTCTTTTTGTCCTTAGTTATCCTAATGTAATGGGGAAAACGGATACACATAAAATATTTTTGTGTCACGTTCAAAGCCTTATTAACACTTTGCCTGAAATAGGTCATTTTGCCTCATCCATTTGCCAAAGTAACCAATTATAAGTTTAGGAAACTTTGATGTAGGCTGACAATATTCTTGTATTTTACTTTAGATTGTAAGCTTAATGGTAGGAAATTATATCAATATCTGTGCTTCTTATGTACCAACCATTGCTGTATACCTTTGGTGCTTAATAAATGTTCATAATTCATAAAAAAAGACCAAGAAGGAACCAAAGGAGATGGGCAGACATAAAGGCAGAAGTCCACAAAAAAATGAAGATCAATACAGCATCACCAGAACCTAGCCTGCCTCCAACATCTAGACCTGAACAGCAAAATTTAGAAGAAGCAGAAGAAAACAGCCTTATGAATAACATCATGAAGAAGGTAGAGGCTTGTGTAGAGGAAAAGACAAAAAAATCGGAAGAACGCTATAAACAACTAGAGGAAAGGGCAAACAAATTAGAAGAAAACAATAAAGTCCTGGAAGAAAACAAT